AGGAGTGGGATGAGACACCTCTTTTGTATAGCTCGCCTAATATGAGAGTGTATCGTGTGACTATTTTTCTTATCTTTTGGGCTTCAAGGGGTCGGTTGGTGATTTTCCTATCAACAGATAATTGATGTTTTTGGTCATCCAATTTTTATCCCCTTATTGGATTTATAAGCACTCTGACTCTATAATTCTTGGAATTTGTAGTTCTTATTGTATCACGCTACGGAGTTGGTTCGTTTTCTTACAAACTTGCCAGCTTTGCCAATCGGTCAGCCCTCATGTTGAGTTCTCTAGGGGTATGGCTTATGTGAACTTCTTCAAAGGTAGACTTAAGCATTTGAAAAGTATGGAAATACTGGAGCAATGTTGATTCTTTTATTTGAAATGTTCCATTGATCTGCTCTCTGACTACTTGAGAGTCGCTCCAACATTTAACCCTTGTCACCCCCAAATCAATCGCCAGACGCAAACCAGCTAACAGGGCTTCATACTTGGATTGATTGTTGAAAATTTTGAAGTTGAAGCGTAGTGATTATTCTATCACCATGTTGTCCGGTCCTTCAAGTATGATTCTGGCTCTGCTGCCTTATAGGTTTGATGATCTGTCTACATGTAATGTCCACGTAGCTTTTTCTGAAGGGGCTTCGGGATGGAACTCATTTAAGAAGTCATCCATGCTTTGAGCTTTGATAGGGGCCCTTGATTTGAAACGAATGTCGTACTATGACAGTTCGATCGACCAAGCTACCATCGTGCCTACTAGCTCAGGTTTACGTAAAACCTTGGCTATTGGGATGTCCGTTGTTACCACTATTTTATGGCTTTGGAAGTAATGGTGCAGGCGCCGGGTCATCTGTACCAGTGCTAGGACTGTCTTTGCAAGTTATTGGTATCAGGTCTCTGCCTCCTGCAAGACTCGACCGATGAAATACACTAGAACTTGTTCTTTTCTCTCTTGTACCAAGGCAGTGCTGATAACCTTTTCAGAAATGGCTATGTAGACTATGAGGTATGACTGGGGGTCCAGCTTAGCCAAGAGTGGTGGTGCAGCAAGCATCGCTTTCAGTTCTTGAAATGATGATTCACACTCTTTGGTCCACTAGAACTTGCGTGCTTTCTTTAATAGCGACATTATTGGTCTAGACTTATCCTCCATGCATGACAAAAAATGTGCCAATGATGTTATCCTCCCTACTAGGCGCTGTACTTCCTTAATGTTGCGGGGGCTCCTCATGTCGATGACAGCTTGACACTTATCGGGATTAGCCTCTATCCTCCTTTTTGAGAGCATAAATCCTAGGAACTTTCCACCGGTAACTCCGAAGGTGCACTTTGCCGGATTCAAGCACATGCAATGCTTTCTTACCTCATCGAACACCTGTTTTAGGTTTTTAATGTGATCGTCTGTGGAGTTATATTTTACCACCATGTCATCTACATACACTTCTAGACACTTTCCAATCTGTTGGTGGAAGATCTTTTCCATGAGTCGTTGGTAAGTTGCCCCCGCATTCTTCAAACCAAATGGCAATACTTTGTAACAAAAGTTAGTCGACTCCATGATGAATGTTGTTTTCCCCTCATCCGGTGGATACATGGGTATCTGATTGTACCCGGAATAAGCATTGAGGAAATAAGTATCTGATGATTTGCTGCCCCGTCTACCAACGCATCAATATGTGGTAGAGGATAAGCATCCTTCAGGCAGGCCTTGTTCAAATTTGTGTAATCGGTACACATTCGCCATTTTCCGTTAGCCTTTTTTACCATCACCACGTTGGCTAACCAAGTGGTATATTTGACTTCTCTGATGAACCCAGCTTGGAGTAGTTTTGTAGTTTCCTCCTTTACGGCTTGTGCTCTCTCACTGCCCATCATCCTCTTTTTCTAGGCAACGGGCTTGGCATCTCGACATATGGAAAGTCGATGGCAGTGATAGTGGGGGTCAATGCCCGGCATGTCTACTGCTGTCCAGGCAAATATGTTAGAGTTCTTAATGAGTACCTTCTTGATACTCTCGACTTCGATGGCCGTCAATTGGGAACTTAGGTACGTGACCTACTCCTTACTTTTTCTGAGTTGCAAAGGGATAGTTGTCTCGACCGACTCCACTCTATGGTCTTCATTTGAACGGGGGTCTATTTCGAGACACGTATCTCCTTTGATTTGGTGGTGATCACCGATAACATCGACGTCGTGTGAGTACCTAGGCATCGGGTGTATCTTCAAGCAAGCATAGTAGCACTCACGAGCCATTTTCTGATCGACATGTAACATGATCACTATGCCAGTTTCACACGAAAACTTCATGGCTAAGTGCGGGCTTGACACGATGGGACGTAGCTTGTTTAAGGGTCGTCCAAGCAAGATATTGTATGAGGTATTGGCTTGTACCACCACATACCGTACTTTGACTCGATGTCCTTCTTGTTCATGCCTGAAGCAAGTGTACAAGTCAACGATTCTACTCTTTCCCCTGAGAATTTGACTAACGGCTCATTGTAGGGTGTCAGCTCTTGTTTAGGAATAACCAATTGTTTGATTGTTTTCTAGTATAAGATGTCAGTTGGGCTTCCTTAGTCTATTAGTGTTTTCCTCACGAGGCAATTGTTAATTTTTATGTTGATCACCATAGGGTCGTCTTGTACTGGGTCGACTGTAACATCCCGTATCTTTTACACAATAATTATTATTATTTTATATTATAGGGCTTATTTAATGAAATTTTATAGAAAATTTTAGAGATTTTTTAAAAAAAATTAAATATTTATAAAAAAACATTAATTTTTATATGAAATTATGTTTTTTTTAGCAGAACGGGTTGTTCCAAAAGTGGAACGGGCCGTTCCAAATTAGTAAAGAAGCCAAGTTTGGTTATTCCAGAACGGGTCGTTCCCAAAGTGAAACGAGCCATTCCAAGACTCTAAAAATGCCTAAAAAGTTTAGTTAGAAATGAGTCGTTCCAATTATGGTCAATGTGTGTTAAAATCAACCCTAGAACGGGTCGTTCTAATTTTGAGAACGGGTCGTTCTGATTTTTAGAATGGTCCGTTCCAATCGTAAATTTTGCATATAACGGAGGGGTACAGAACGGGCTGTTCTGGTTTGAGAACAGGCCGTTCCGGCCACCCCTTAATGCTTATAAATAGGAGGCATGGGCTGTGAAAAAAAATTATAACTAAGAAGGTAAAAACTTAGAGACAGAAAGAGAGAGAAAGAGAGAGAGAGAGAAAGAGAAAGAAATTGAAAGAAAGAGAGAGAAAGAGAAAGAAAGAGGGAATCCAGAGGAGGAGATTAGCAAGGTTCTACTCTAGTTTCAGCTCCTGCTTATCGAGGTAAGGGGGGAGTGAGAAACCTCGCTCGGGGTGTGGGAATAATTGTTGGGTAGTCGGATTGGCCCCAATCCCTTGCCTGATGTATGCTTCTGGGAACATGAATGTGTTCTGTTTTACTTTCTGTTTGCTCTACTGTGTTCCTTATTGGAAGTAATGAATAAATATGTAATTAATTTTAAAAATAAATAAGTTTTAATATAAATAAGAGTGCTCTCTATGGATTCCTGTGCGGACCTTATGAGGAACAATTATGACATAACTGTGTGAAATATGAACAAATGACATGAGACATGAAAATGGACTATTAAGAAAAGCTATGACTATGAGAATATGAAAAATAAAGACAAGAGACAATAAATGAAGTTCTGTGATAAGTGAAATATTGAGTCAATGAAATTGTAAATGTATGACATGCATCATATACATATATATAACTCTAGGTGTGTCGTTGAGGCCGCATACCAATGATGTAACCAGCTAACAAGGTGTACCTTAGGGTTACCAATAATGTAACGAGGTGTACCTGAGGGTCACCAGTGATGTAACCAGGTGTACCTTAGGATCACCAGTGATGTAACCAGGTGTACCTTAGGGTCACTAGTGATGTAACAAGCTAACAAGGTGTACCTTAGGGTCACCAGTGATGTAACAAGCTAACAAGGTGTACCTTAGGGTCACCAGTGATGTAACTAGGTGTACCTTAGGGTCACTAGTGATGTAACAAACTAACAAGTTGTACCTTAGGGTCACCAGTGATGTAACCAGGTGTACCTTAGGGTCACCAATGATGAAATGTGAAACTTCTGTATGGCGCAACATGCATGCATTTATGAGTCGAGTCCATGACATCATAGCATGATAAATGAGTGTACATGTGATACTGATCATGTATGGGTATTGTTTATATGTGATTAGTGTTTATGACTTATGATTGTTGTGTGTGCTATCTAACCTTTATTTTTACACCTGAAACTGAGTGAGATGTTTCTCACTCCCTTGTTGTTCTTGTACGTGTTTAAATTATGTTGCAGGTGATCATCATCATGAGGATGTTGGTGATGAGGCTTAAGGCTTCAGTTGGGCATGCTCTGATATGTGACATCGGGCATAGCTAGGCTTAGTTTAGGATGTTATTGTTCTAAAAGCCTTAGTTTCTTTTCTTTTTTAATTTTGAACGTTCATGATAAAAGACCAAAATGTGCATCTTTGTCATTTTATTTTATTACATGATTTGGAAGTTATAAATTAATTCCTAACTAGGAGGCACTGCCACCTTTGCTGGAATTAATCTATATTTTCCTTTATATGATTTGTTGAATTTTTGATACTTACATGTTGACTTTTTATGATTTATGAGTTACGAATGTGATTCTTCTTCCTTATGATATTTGAGACAATTGTTTTATCCATGAAAGATGTTGTCAACTATGAAAGATTTTATTTACTCAAAAGAAAAAAAAATTATTATATACATTTATGTGTATTAAATGTTGGGGTAGAGGGTGTCACATTTAGTGGTATCAGAGCAGGTCGATCCAATCGACCGTGAGTTATGAGTTTATTATGCTTATTTGGTAGATGAATGATGGACTGAATTGATTGTGGAACTTGTTGGTATGCTAGTGTGATGATTGATTATGTTTATTAATTGTATTATTTTCTTAGACTATGGCTGGTAGAAATAATCGTGTGATTGCTGATGCTCTTCAAGCATTAGCACAAGCTATGAATAATAACAATAGGGCTGGAGTCGGTCCTAACTGGTTGGAGAAATTTCAACGAAATCTCCCACCTACCTTTAAAGGAGGATATGACCCAGATGCTGCTATGAATTGGCTAACGGAGATCGAGAAGATCTTCAACGTTATGGATTGTCCCCTCGCTCAGAAGGTGAAGTTGGCCACCTTCATGTTGACTGCTGATGCCCACTTTTGGTGGGAAGGAGCACTTTGAAGGATGATTGATGGAGGGGTGCACTTGAATTGGGACAACTTCAAGAAGGTTTTTTTTAAGGGAACAAAACAGTGGCAGAATATGCTGCCAAATTTGATGCTTTGGTTCGTTATTGTACACACTACCATGGTGAGGGTGGTGAAAGGGATAAATGCATAAAATTTGTAAATGGTCTGCGTCTTAAAGTGAAAACTACAATTAACTATCAGGAGATATATCACTTTCCCACTATTCAATAAGTGCAACATTTATGATCGTGACAACCGTGCTCGTGCTACTTTCTATAAAGGAGTTGGAGGTCATATCCATGCTGTGAGTTCTAGTACTTCGGGTAGGAGTAAGCCTTACTCTGCTCCTACTAGATTTCAAGGGAGTAAAGCTGCTGCTAATAAAAGTAAGTCATTTACTAGAGGATCCACTGTTAGTGCTACTGGAGTGTTAGAGGGTCTGTGTCCACTCCTTTAGGAAGATGCGGGAAGTGTGGACGTGCTGGTCATAATAAGTTTGAGTGTCGTGACAGGGAAGTTACCTGTTTCAACTGCAATGGTAAAGGTCACATCAGCACCCAATGTCCTGAACCACCAAGAACACGTGTTATTGGATCGAGTTCGCAAATTGAGCGTCCAAAGACTGTAGGGAGAGTATTTGCTCTTAGTGGTGCTGAAGCTGCTCGGTCAGAAAATTTGATACAAGGTGCTTGTTTCATAGTTGAGACTCCTTTTGTTGTATTATTTGATTCTGGTGCAACTCATTCCTTTATTTCTGTCTTTTGTGTCCAAAAATTGAATTTGCCTGTGTCTTTGTTAGATTTTGATTTAGTTGTTGAAACCCTTACTAATGGTCCTGTGACTACATCCCTAGTGTGTTTGAAATATCCTTTGATAGTTTCTGATAAGCAATTTCTAGTTGACTTAATTTGTCTGGCTCTTAGTCAATTAGATGTAATTCTTGGTATGGATTGGTTATCTTCCCACCATGTCCTTTTAAACTACTTTGATAAATCTATTTCCTTTGGTGAATGTAAGAGTACGAAATTTCTTAGTGTTGCTGACATTAAAACATTTAAAAAAAATGAAACAGTGTACATGATCTTTGCTTCCTTAACACTTGAGACTAATAGTAAGCTAGATGAGATTCCCTTACTGAGAAAATTTCCAGAAGTATTCCCTAAGGATATGTCTAGTTTACCACCTGAGAGAGAGATTGAGTTTAGCATAGACTTAGTACCAGGTACCTCACCCATATCTATAGCACCTTATAGGATGTCCCCTAAAGAGTTAGTTGAGCTTAAGAAACAAATAGAGGAACTGCAAGGGAAACAATTCATTAGGCCTAGTGTCTCGCCTTGGGGAGCGCCTGTTTTATTGGTTAAGAAGAAAGATGGGAGCATGAGGTTGTGCGTAGACTATAGACAACTAAATAAAGTGACCATTAAGAATAAGTATCCCTTGCCTAGGATAGATGACCTTATGGATCAACTAGTTGGAGCTTGTGTTCAGTAAGATAGATTTAAGGTTAGGATACCATCAGATTAGAGTGAGAGCTGAGGATGTTCCTAAGACTTCCTTTAGGACCCGCTATGGGCACTATGAGTATTTAGTTATGCCTTTTGGTGTGACTAATGCACCTGGTGTTTTATGGACTACATGAATAGGATATTTCACCCTTACTTGGATAGATTTGTAATGGTCTTCATAGATGATATCCTAGTGTATTCCAAGACTAGGGAGGAGCATGTTGAGCACCTTAAGATCGTTCTTCAAACCCTAAGGAGAAGCAATTGTATGCTAAATTGTCAAAATGTGAATTTTGGTTGGATAGTGTGAACTTTCTAGGACATGTGATATCCAAGGGTGGGATAGCTATAGATCCTACTAAGGTAGAAGCTGTGTTAGAGTGGAGTACACCTAAAACAATATTTGAGATTAGGAGTTTCTTAAGACTAGCTGGTTATTACAGAAGGTTCATAGAGAATTTCTCTAGGCTAGCTCTTCCTTTGACTAAGCTGACGAAGAAGGACCAACCTTTTATGTGAGATTCTAGATGTGAGGAAAGCTTTCAAGAGCTTAAGAGGAGATTAACTAGTGCCCATGTGTTAGTGTTACCTGACCCTAGTAAGACTTTTGAGGTATTTTGTGATGCTTCTAAATTGGGTTTAGGAGGAGTGCTTATGCAGGAGGGTAAGGTAGTAGCCTATGCTTCTAGACAACTTAAAGTTCATGAGCAAAACTATCCTATCCATGACCTTTAGTTAGCTGTAATAGTATTTGTACTTAAATTGTGGAGACATTACTTGTTTGGGTCTAGATTTGAGGTTTTTAGTGACCATAAAAGCTTTAAGTACTTGTTTGACCAAAAGGAATTGAATATGAGGCAGAGGAGATGGTTAGAGTTCCTTGAGACAGAGGAGATGGTTAGAGTTCCTTAAGGATTATGACTTTCAATTGAATTATCACCCCAGCAAGGCTAATGTTGTAGTTGATGCTTTGAGTAGAAAATCCTTGAGAATGTCTTCTTTGATGATTAGGGAATTGCATATAGAGCTGTCAAAACGGGCCAGCTTAGCCCATGTGGGCCAGCCTACCTTGACCCACTTTAAAAACGAGTCAACCCAACCCGGCCCACTTTTGATTTTCTTAAAAAGAATTTGGCCCGGTCCGGCCCACCACGAGTTGGTGGGTTATACAGGCCAGTCACCAGCCCACCAAAAATTAAAAAAAATTTATCAAAAAAATTCAAAATTTTAAATTAATTATAAATTAACATAATAGTCATAAAATTAGCATCATTAATAATCATGTCATAACTCACCATACAAAATTAAATATAAATCATAATAAAAGTCTAAAATAAAAATTTTCAATATTCGTCGGGTCAAAGTGGGCCGGGTTGAGATATACCCACCTACTATAAAACTTTAATTTTTTTTGGCCGGCCCCGGCCCATTTTCAAGGTGGGCCGGGTTGGCCCACGAGTCCCAGCCCACTTTGACGACTCTAATTGCATATGATTGAGGACTTTAGGGATATGAGCTTAGGGTGTGAGTTGACCTCTAAGAGTATTAAGTTGGGAGATTTGAAAGTGACTAATAGCTTGATAGATGAGATTAGAGAAGGTCAGAAGATAAATCTTTTCTTATTGAGTCAAGTAGAGAAGTTGAATCAAGGTGTGGAGAGTGAGTTTAGATTTGGAGTGGATGGAGTCTTGAGATTTAAGGATAGGTTGTGCATTCTTAGTGTGTCAGAGCTTAAGAGAGCAATCCTAGAAGAAGGTCATAAAAGTAGCCTTAGTATCCATCCAGGAGCCACTAAGATGTACCAAGACCTCAAAAAGATGTTTTGGTGGCCTAAGATGAAGAGGAAAGTGGAGGAATTTGTGTATGCCTGCTTAGTATGTAAAAAAGCTAAGGTAGAACACCAAAAACCTTCAGGTCTGATGCCACCTTTAGATGTGCCTGTGTGGAAATGGGATAACATCTCTATGGATTTTGTAGTTGGGTTACCTAAGACTATGAAGAACTTAGATGCTATATGGGTCATCGTGGATAGATTGATTAAGTCTGCCCATTTTATTCCCATTAATATTAGGCACCCTTTGGAGAGGTTAACCAAGTTGTACATCAGTGAGATAGTGAGGTTGCATGGAGTTCCTACTAGTTTAGTGTCTGATAGAGATCCTATGTTCACCTCTAGATTTTGGGAGAGTTTGCATAAGGCTTTAGGCACTAAGCTTAGATTGAGTTCAGCCTACCATCCTCAAACTGATGGCCAAACTGAGAGAACCATACAATCTTTGGAAGACTTGTTGTGTGCTTGCATCTTAGAACATGGGGGTAGTTGGGAGTTTCCTACCTTTGATAGAGTTTACCTACAATAATAGTTACCATTCTAGTATTGGGATGACACCCTATGAGGCTTTGTATGGTAGGAGATGTAGAACACCTTTATGTTGGGCAGAACCCGGAGAGAATGCCATGTTAGGACCTGAGATAGTTCAACAAACTACTAAACAGGTTAAGATGATCCAAGAGAGGATGAGAGCAACCTAGAGTAGGCAAAAGAGTTATAATGACAAGAGGAGAAAAGACCTTGAGTTTAAAGAAGATGATCATGTATTCCTTAAAGTCACTCCTTGGACAAGAGTAGGCAGAGCACTGAAATCTCGTAAGCTTACTCCACATTTCACCGGTCCTTATCAAGTTCTTAAAAGGATCAGTGAAGTAGTCTATCAAATTGCCTTGCCTCCATCTCTTTCAAATCTCCATAGTGTCTTTCATGTTTCCCAACTCATAAAGTATGTCCATGATCCTTCCCATATCATTGAGTCTGACAACATTCAGTTGAAGGATAATCTTACCTATGAAACAGTTCCTTTAAGGATTGATGACAAGAGGGTAAAACAACTGAGAGGAAAGGAAATCTCTTTGGTTAAGGTCGTTTGGGGGGAAATATTGAAGAAAGTGCTACATGGGAATTAGAAAGCAAGATACGAGAAGCTTATCCATTTCTGTTTGTAGGTAAATTTCGGGAACGAAATTTCTAAAAAGATGGGAGAATTGTAACATCTCGAATCTTTTACATAGTAATTATTATTATTTTATATTATGGAGCTTATTTAATGAAATTTTATAGAAAATTTTAGAGATTTTTTAAAAAATTTAAATATTTATAAAAAAATTAATTTTTATATGAAATTGTTTTTTTAGGCCCAGAACGGGTTGTTCCAAAAAGTGGAACGAGCCATTCCAAACGATGAAAGTAAACTATTTTTGAAGTAGCAGAACAGGTCGTTCCAAAAGTGGAACGGGCCGTTCCAAATTAGTAAAGAAGCCAAGTTTGGTTATTCTAGAACGGGTCGTTCCCAAAGTGAAACGGGTCGTTCCAAGATTCTAAAAATGCCTAAAAAATTTAGTTAGAAACGGGTCGTTCTAATTATGGTCAATGTGTGTTAAAATCAACCCTAGAATGGGTCGTTCTGATTTTGAGAAAGGGTCGTTTTGATTTTTAAAACGGGCCATTCTGATTTTTAGAACGGGCCATTCCAGTTGTAAATTTTGCATATAACGGAGGGGTCCAGAACGGGCCGTTCTGGTTTGAGAATGGGCCGTTCCGGCCACTCCTAAATGCCTATAAATAGGAGGCATGGGCTGTGAAAAAAAAATTATAACTGAGAAGGTAAAAACTTAGAGAAAGAAAGAGAGAGAAAGAAAGAGGGAATCCAGAGGAGGAGATTAACAAGGTTCTGCTCTAGTTTCAGCTCCTGCTTATCGAGGTAAGGGGGGAATGAGAAACCTCGCTCGGGGTGTGGGAATAATTGTTGGGTAGTCGGATTGGCCCCCAATCCCTTGCCTGATGTATGTTTCTAGGAACATGAATGTGTTCTGTTTTACTTTCTATTTGCTCTACTGTGTTCCTTGTTGGAAGTAATGAATAAATAGGTAATTAATTTTAAAAATAAATAAGTTTTAATATAAATAAGAGTGCTCTCTGTGGATTCCTATGCGGACTTTATGAGGAATAATTATGACATGACTATGTGAAATATGAACAAATGACATGAGACATGAAAATAGACTATTAAGATAAGCTATGACTATGAGAATATGAAAAATAATGACATCAGACAATAAATGAAATTCGATGATAAGTGAAATATTGAGTCAATGAAATTGTAAATGTATGACATGCATCATATACATATATATAACTCCAAGTGTGCCGTTGAGGCCGCATACCAGTGATGTAACCAGCTAACAAGGTGTACCTTAAGGTCGCCTGTGATGTAACGAGGTGTACCTGAGGGTCACCAGTGATGTAACCATGATGTGGACATAAAAGCCCAAACTCAAGAGGCCCATGATCAGAAGGCCCAAGTCCACGACGAAGACGATAAAGATCAAGATCCAATTCAAATCTTAGGTGGGCCTATGACTAGAGGGATGCTTAAAAAAACCCAAGAGGCATTACAGCACAAAGTGGCCCATTTGCTAGAGACCCAACAATCGACTCAACACATGGAGGAGGCTAGACTTATTACATGCATAGCTTGCTTAGAGAGCTAGGAGGCCAACTGGAAGATTTAGTTTTTATTTTATTATTATTATCTTTTTATGTCTTAAGTTTTAAAGCTGTGTTAGTTTTGTTTTGTAAAAGGCAGTATTAAAAATAAAAATAATAAACTACTACATTTCAGGATTTGAACCCGAGACCTTAAGCTTATAATGCCTTCATCAAACCACTTGGGCATATTAGCTTCTGTTGGGATATTAGTATTTTAATTTTCTTTATTTACTTTCAAATGAAGCAAACTCAAACTAAAGTTGTATTAAACATTTTGGGAATTGAGACAAGAGACCGACTATTCAGATTATATTTTTGTGTGAGTTTTAGCTCTGCTAGGGTTCTTCCTTGCATCAACTGATCTTATCAAGAATTCTCTAATTCTTGTGGCGATCTTTCTTGGCTTATCAAATAATCGTATGTGTGGCGCCTTTCTTATAATCGATTAATTCACATCATTTGGTATTTAGAGCCAGGTTTTGGGGGGCACTGTTCATGCACACTGTTCACGTGCACTGTCCATTGTATTGTTTCACGCGTAGTGTTCAAATTTCTATTTTAATTCTTTTTTCCTGTTTCATTCCTTCTTGTTATTGTGTATCCACATATTTCTTTCGGTGATTATCTTTCATTTTAAAACATTAAATTCTGCCCAAAAAAAAATCTGCAGCAAAAGAAAAAAAAAATCTACAGCAAAAAAAAAAAATATATATATATATATATAACAGTTGTTCTTCCTTAAATTCCGTGCACATTACCTATTTGATAAAATTCCTAAGTGTCAAGTGTCTTCCTTGTTCTTTGCTAGTTGTCCTTTGTGGGTATTACAATTCTGTTTTATTCCTTATGATTGCTATCCTTGAAGGTGATTCTTAATTATACATTATTTGATTCTTGTAAGAACCTTAAGTCAGAGAATGAGCGGAAAAAGGCAAGAGTGAATATTTACACAAAAGCCAAGTTGAGAATAAACACG